AACACACAAAATGTTTGCTATCCCAGTTATCTACCGTATTTCATTTTAACTTTTTTACTTTCTTTTCACTTTGTTTTATATTCCAATCCACCTGCCCCTCATTTTTATTATTGTTATTTTTGTTATGGCGTTGGCACCATAGTTGTCTACAAGCCGGTGTTAAATATATCTATCTATCACTTGCACCTATTTTTGGGGGGCCCGTATTCGTAATTAGACGGAAAAGATTCCAACTATTGCCATAGCCGCAGCTTTCTACACCTATTTATACTTTCCTACCCACCACTACTGGCGGTCATTCCTGAAACTCTTGACGAGTAGGCGTTTGAGGGATTTGCGCGCTGTGTGATACGTGCCATTAGGACTAAGGGTACCCCGGTGTCCTGCAGGGTAGCCGATGTCGACGAGATCCGTCGTTTATGTTTTGAGCCTGCGCCATGGACCGTCCTCTGTTTTATCGATATTTGCAGAGCTCCATTGATTTGCTTCCAATGATCATTGGGTTCTTCGGCTGATGAACCGACAGGCAATCGGAGAGCTCCACTTTGAAGGCCGATTTGCAAATATCGCTGACGTTATATTGTGGGTATCAGTGGCCGTTTTTTATTGGGGTAGTTTGTCAGGCGTACGGCGAATTTGGTTCGTATCAAGGCGTATTCCGTGTCCATAGAGGTTGAACAGTAAGAGCGGCAGTCTTGAGTCGACCCCTTCCAGCGGTAACTGATGGTGATGTGGTCGATTTTGGTCCAGCGCTGTGAAGAGGTTGGCAGTTTCCATGTAAGGTGGTACCGTTTCTTGTGCGAGAAGCTGCTGCTTGACAGAAACAACCCACGGTCCGTGCGTTCAAACATTAACTTTTATCGGTGTGGCAGCCTTGTGGAAAGCTCCTCTCGATAACTCTCTTTGTTTAGCAATGTTCAAGCGGTGTAGGTCATCTGGACCACTTCAGAGGCAGCATATTTGAATTCCTTCACCAATGACCAATTTTGCTCCTTCAAATCACCTTATGACAACAGTTTGATTGACCACTCTTATTTCTACATTTTTCTACATTACGTTTGAAGATAAAAAGAGGAAGGATTATTAAGAAAATAACAGCAAACTGCATCCAAATATACATCCAAAAAGACGTCATATACTGGGCATTTAGTCATCTCAGCACCGCCAAATTCTGGAATATCTTTTAATTATATATCTTAACTGAACAATCCGTATTTCCTTCTGCCAATATACTCCCCAAATATCCGTCTCATGAAAAAACCCCTTTAGCTCGTGTTCTAGAAGAGTACCGTAGAGTGCCAGCTATATGCCATTTGGTGTCAAATTACGGACTACTTGGAACTTTCTCCCAATACATGCTGTTATTTTCCTACCACCGATTTATTTAAGTTAATAGTCCATACAGCTTTGGAACGTCTTATTCTTCAACAACCAAGAATGAGCTTGGACTATGCGGGATTTGTTCGTACATAGATCAGAACTCATTGAGTAAGGAGTAAATTACTTGTGATTTGCCTTCAGTTTTGTAGTTACAATGTTAAATATGATGAAAGTCTGAACGAATGTCATAAAACTGAAGTGTCGATAAATTTTTGTTCTATACCGTCCGTCTTAAACTGGTTTTGGTGGATTGAGATATGGAACAGTGCTTCAAATTATCTTCGATGTTTTTATTTCCGGATCAGGTACTCCCACCGAATTCACAACTAGTACTCCTTCTTCATAGAACTAGTCCCTTTTTAGCTTACCTTCCACTTCAAAGTTGAGTCGTAATGAACAGTAAAATATGGATCTCAAGAGATAAGGCCACTAAAGCCTCTGGCATGAAAGTTCCATGCCACGTTCATATTAAGCTCTGTCACTGAAATGTTCGCTGTCGACTATTTTGGAGGAACGTTTGCTTATTTCTTACCGAGAGAAAGCGTTTTCCATTGTGAACAGATTTATCATTATTGTTCTGCTTATTTCGGTCTCAAAGACGTCAGTGTTCTCGGGGCCTCACAGATCAGTTTGCATAGATCTTGGGGTGTCTTCCCTCGGTAGCGGACCTCTCCCGTGCTTTTGCACCTTTTACAATGAGACAATGTCAGTATTAACCAATGCAACCGAACAAAAGTTTCAGGCTTTGCAATTTTGTCTGAGTGTAAATTTTTTCAGCAACGGAATTTGGCTACAATTCATAGTCTTTTTGTCTGCTTTTTGATGACGAGGCAACCTACGAATCTTACACTACAAAATCGGATTTTTTGTGAAAATAACTGATAGCTCTGATTAAAATATATTATTGTTTATCAACTGGATAGTTTTGTAATCAAAAAACGAAAGCCATACTGTTCAGATTATTTTAATGGAGATTTAATTTGTCTCCCTTATGCTACAGACCCATTTTGGCTCAACTCCGAACCCACATACGACAGAAAAATTGGCGGACGTATTGACTTCGGAATTAAACACCATTAATCAAAAGTACGTCTATTCTAATAATTATTTCCCATGTACTTTATATTATTCCAATTAGGAAAATACAATGACCGCTACCAGGAAGAAACAGACTCGTTGTTTGTGATGTACAGGTGCCCTGATGATAGTGACCCTTAAAATTATCAATATTTTCTGAATCATGATGTCTTGCTCCTGAATATTCTCTCTCTTTAACTCATATTCTTCTTGTTCTCCGTGTTATATTAAGTTAATATTCTCATTTCGATAAGTTGTATCACCTTATGTTTCAAGTTAGGCTTTTGTGCGAGATTATTTTATTCATTTTCGTTGAGGACTTACGATATCTATTCTCTCACTCTCAACTGTCTCACTTGAATTTTTGCACATTGCATATGGCTTGTCGAAATTCAGGTAGTTGTTTTTCTCGATAAGTGTGTAAAAGTGAGGCCGTGAAAAGAGCATCAAACAAAACTATTTAGTAATTTCTTTTTTGATGTTGACCAACTAGATAACAGGTAAAATAAATGAAAGAACGAAACAGGATAGATTCAAGAGGTTGACTGAAAAACAGTAGTGATATTTGAGTATTAGATTCATCAAATCATCACAATGAGTGCTACTCCAAAAAGATCGTCTTATAGATGTTTAACAAAACATACTTGATCAATTAAGTTTTTCACCTGTGTTTCAAGAACTCGTGTAGGATTCTATACTGGTTACTAGTTTGGCTAGTTTGGCAACCAAACCTGTTTCCGAATCTCATCTCTTCCGAGGCATCATATTGATTCTCTCACCACATGCATCCAGCTGGTCTCGTGTGCTCATGCTCAGTGGGGCTTTCATGTTGTTCTTCTTCAGTGAAGAAAGCTTGACAGTGATATGCATCGAAAGAATAGAGAATAAGTTCTATTATTGACATGGACTGACTGTCTTTACGCTTGGACAATTATCGATTATTTTGGCAATTTGAGCCGTCGAATTCGTTTGGTTGTACCACAAGTGAAGGAGTTATATAGCATACTTCTGAGGGTCATTTCTAGTAAAACACTATTTGTTTAATATATTTTACTACCAGCTTTTATAACGTGAATACTGACGGATTTTATTTCGGCGAAAAGAGTGACAAACGTGAGATTCCTTGTTTAGAAGCAACACACAACTGTTGTAACTCGAATGCGTGTTATCAGCGGTTGAATTTCTGCCGATTTACTACTAAGTTAGCCCGGATCATCAAGGAAGAGTGAAACCATATTGTTTTATTTGTATTTCACCCGTATACAGTTTTGAGTATTCAAGCAACCTTTAACTAGTGACATTGTTTATGATGCGCATATCACTTATTGTTTCTAAACGTCGATTAAACCTTTTCCGAGATCTCCAAACGGCAGCCTAACGCCACTTACATGCCTCAGAACCTTCGATTATGATCAGCCAGAATAAGAGAATTGTTGAGTAAAAGGAAATGTATTTGATATTTCATGTAAAATCCATCAGTTTACCTTTTTCCTGTCGATAAAACTGTTTCCTTTACCTCCCGATTGTTCGTTTTTAGTTCCCAGCTAGCGTGCTGTGAAGCATGGATGAATTTGTTGGACATATTCCTGAAAGAAAACCTCCCCATTTCTCATGTGAGTAATTTGATAAATAAACTTTGTTTGACCGATTTTATCTGATGGCACATATTTAACATTTAAGGTCTGACAGTCATTGTACGAAGTTATAGTTTGTATTCATTTGGTGATCCATACTCTACCTTCAAATCTACGTTATGATAAACACACTTGTGAATTTAACCGAGAGCAACAAACTGGTGGACATAAAGTACAAGAATAGAGCAATGCTTTAATGCTAAAGAGTTGACCACACTTCTTGAGGGTAGTGAAAGTTGAGCGAGATGATAAAAGAACCGTTTTGTTTTGACTGACAAGCAGTCTCGTTCACTAAACATAAGAAACTTCACCAAATATATTTAAGCCAAACACTTTTAAATACATGAGCTGTCGCGCTATGAGAATAAATAGAATAGCTAGTTTGCAGTGTTTTCTAATCATTTTAGTACAATACCGTATATGTGAGTAATGACAATGTAGTTTTTGAGGGAATTGGGGGTGCATTGAACGTTTACACAATTGGGTTTTCGTTGTTCCGCTCATCGCATTCTAGTTATAAGGGAGGCAGTCAGCATCTGTCTCCACAAATGATCGGTCTTCAAGCACAGAAACAAGTGATATTGTAGGTTGCCTAAAACCAATTTGAAAATGGAGAGTAATCATTGAAGAATTTTTTGCACACTATCCACCCACACACCGTTCTCTCGCCTACTCGTTTGTGTAATTTTTTATTTATGCTTTATTCCAGTGGCGTGGTTATGTAACTGAATGCTAACCTGTTTGTTACGTTGTGTTCTTATTGTATAGGTGTCAAAAATTAACTTCTAGTGGTTGATTTTATTCACGCTCACTTCTCTCCAATATTTGGCCATCGTATCATCGTTTTCCCCGGCATGACGGTAGTTGATCGAAGTTTAAACACTTCTTGTTTCTCGATCACAATTTCAGCTTGTTCAGTCGCAAAAGCATCAGCTCGTTAAACTTCAGTCCCGTCTGAAACAAAACAATGTGACAGACGAGAACAAAACTCAGAATCTGCTCCCAGTTCCTGGTCGAGCACGCACACCAACGCAGTTTCAAAATGTTTTGAACGGTGGTCGAATTCCCACAACCGAAGAGACTTCCGTTTCCATGGACTTCCAGTGAGTTTGGTATGAGATAAACTTTGTCAACGTTCATCGATGTACGGGTTACGACACTCATGCAAGAATATCAACTTTGTGCTTCCCTAAATAAGGAAACAATTCATCAAAGTTGATTTTGTACGGTAGGATACTATAAGCTAACAATTATTTATTATTCAGTATTCGTCTCGATGTATAGCCTGTAAAGTTGGTACGTTATTTAAGCCTAATTATAGATAAGAGTACATCGCTAAATACAAGACACCCAACAAGGGCAATTTTAAGAGGATCGAGTCGCAATCTTATTTGTTGCGGATGCAATCAGTGGTAAAACTGCGCATCGTCGCTGCAGGTTCTTGTATAGTTCAAATCCAGCAGTAGTCAAACTGAGAATTTGACTTGATTCCCAAACGTAATGACTATTTTGGGATCTTGGACATACTGGTACATAGGTAGGTCCTCATCGAGTCCAAATCAAGCGTATAATCTGATAGTTTCGGAGAGATGTGTCGAATGTCTGATGAACACACACTCACCATCGTGTATGTTTTGATGGAATAATACTCGGACCTGCCGTTATGGTAGGTTAGTCTTAATTTAGTTTATGTAAAAATCAATCCTGTATTGTGGTACCTCGTATTCAATACCTCGTATTCAATCAATTTGTAGGTAAAGAATTGCTCTCAGATAGAGATATGCAAAAGCTTGAACTAAAGCAACTGAATGGCTTATCAACGTGGTTCAACTATGACTTATGAGAAGATATTAAAGCTTTCAAATTGAGAACTCTTCATTTAGTGATATATATGTGTCTAATAGAACAAGGAGAAATAAACAAAAGAAATCAATTTTGGATAAGGAATACCAACATTTTTGTTTATAGCCTACAAAAATGAGTATAATCATAAAGAGTTTAATATTAAGAGCAAAGAAGCTGCTCTAAATAAATCTGACCTGTGAAACATCAAATTGAAAGGATAGAAATCAAGTTTAATATTGGTAAAGTTAGAATCGAAATGAGCGATAGGTTAGAATGTCTTTTGAAGCTTATTTTACTTCCTTTATATTATCCTTCATATGATCACATTACAGAAGGGAGGAGTGTTTAATCATAGACTGTCAGAGAATACGAGAAATCGGGAAGGGTAGGTGGCGTTAGTGGAACTGGAGAACATGTTTTCTAAGGCAATGACGGTGATCTTAACGCTTGACCCCACCAAAAAGGTTGTAAAGCTTGATAAAATTTAAACAAGCTGCACAATAATTTGATAAAGAAAGTGGCTTTATTTGGGCTACTTACTCTCCAATGCATTAACTCTAAGCGGGTTCAAGTCCAAACTACGTGCTTTTGGCCCCTTGCAACACGAGAAATTTATATCACCTTCGAGGGCACCTGAATTTCAAGATGCCGCTGTGATGTGTTTCAGTTTATCAAACACGCTATTCATGTTTAATAGGATGTTTAAATAGGATTTGTGGTGAATTGCGCCGCATGAAGAGCAAACGAAAGTGAAACTGAAAAGCTAGGAAGCACTATACAATTGTTTCCATCTAGTTCGGATACATCATTCATCCATCTAACTTGATTTCGAACATGGGACCTCACGGGTAGAACGCTAACATACTTTTTTTCGACCACCGGGCAGTTTATCGTATAACTTCTTACTTTCGTTATATACGATGTTTCAAAACCCACCTTTGTGAATTTGATGCAAGCATCGCACCTTGCTCATCTCAGTAATGGCCTCCAGGGTTATGACTCGGTTGGAAACATTTCAACCTGAATTTCTGTGACATGAGAGAAGACGGAGGATTTCGCTTGATCGTATGGTGCATTTCGTTATGTGAAGAGCAAGTGAGGCGTGAACTGAAAAGCTAAGATTCTTTGCTATTATCATGTGTTTTGCACATGGGAGTATGCGTTGTTTTCTTCGTTTATCGACTATCAGTTATCTTTTTGCAAAGTAAATCAGTAGAGATAACAATCGTAACAGTAGTAATGCTGATGGTTTCCTATTTCATTTCACTGCCGTCTATTACCCGGCCATTAGATGCTGAGAACCTTAATCTTTCTCCTGCTTAATGATTGAACTCATCGGTATTTAGTTTCCATCAAACTCAAGTCAAGAAACGCTTTATGTACACAAAGAATGAATTATTAGCAATTTACAAACGTATTAACAGCGATGATAACATGAATCAATTCGACAATGTAGTTCATTAAAAAATCGAGCTCAATGTTGGTGACAGCTGTTGAATGATTAACCAAAATAGTGTAAACGTCGTGGATGACAATGTTTCTTCGTAGGGATGTAAGTGCAGAACAGAGTTACTATCTGGCGCGGGGATGTATCACAACTTTAATGATTTATGGATGCAGACAGTGCCCTTTGTCACATGTGATTCTGTCAATAAACCTGACATATGCGTCAAAATACTTAGAAACGAAAAACTCAACCAAAACATTTTTATCAATTCCCGAGTATCGGAATAAAAGATTGGGTGCTATGGAAAACAAGATGAATTTTCTTCTCTGACAGCAGGGATAAATACAAGGAAGCAGTATAACCAATGTGAAAACATGCAGCCCATCCACAAATTTAGGAATTAGGTTATGTGAGTCGTTCAGTTTCCAGAACCTGTATGCATAATAGGACAGTCCACGAACTTTATCAAAAACGCCATCAACATGAACAAACCGGGACGGCTTATGTGTAAGAGTGACACCGAGGTGTTCAACAGAATCAGATTTTGGGATACTGTGATCATTTACAATAAGATCAGGGGGGTTACTTAACAATGAATTAGAACAGAGGATGGTTTATAAGCGAAATGGAACATCGATACACTGACCAATGCGAAGTAAAAAAATATCAGGGTCCAGATCGATGGACGTGACAATGATCAGTGAAGTTTTCTGAGCTTCACTTCACTGTATGGTGATGATTTCGTTGTTGTTATTGATAGTGGTGACGATGATAAGTGATGATGGCTGTAAAACACTGCTAATAGAAGATAACACCAAATACTATGCTTGTTGGTTACACATGCAAGTAAGTTCAAAAAGTACATACACATTCTTAACGTCCATCATCCAGAGGTTCCAGTACTCGATATTATGGCACATATTTCTTAATATTGGAGCTGATGCAAGACGAGTGTTTTATAATGACCCAGGAGGAACACATTTCCCCCAGGACAGACGGAATAAACGGTTCAGCAATCCTTATCCACATGATATTGACTATGTTGACAGCCTCGGTTTTTTCCAAAGCGATGATGACTAGTTCTATTAACTGGGGTTAACAGATTGGTTAGTGGCTGTACTTTTGCTCTCTATGAAGCTTTTGAATATTCACCATTCAAGACTCGGTTTCATTCAGTTTTCTCTCAGGGCTAATAACAGCTAATTGAGTAGTCTGTGTAACTACCTGCCACTCATTATTATGTCTTTTCGTTCAATACCAGATTTTACCCCTCTCAGCCTTTACTAAAAACCACCTCCACAAAGCAAAGTAACAGTTCACACTTCATGATTACTTGCTTTGCACAAAAAGTGGGACATTCATCCATCCACATATAGATATTTTGATGCGATATTGCATAACATTAGTCTCGGGCTAAACAATCATCAAATTGGTTTTAAATAAACCGAATGTTCCTTTTCCAATTACCTCGATTAATCCTGATTGTTTCAACCCCTTATTGATTACTCAAAACGCTCAACCGAAAATATATGTTCGGGTCTCCGTTGATGAAAGAATTATAATTCTTTTTTGTGTGATTGGCATATAAGACAAAGTAATTGTTTGAAAAGCTTTAGTGGTTGCTGTTTGAGTCCTTCTGAGGGCTTCGGAGAACTGGAAGGTCATTTTGCACGTTTGGAGGAAGTCATCGATTGAAACTATTCGGGATCCTTGTTAATCACTTATTCGCCAATTATTGAGTTAATTTGACATTGCAACTTTATTTTACCATGCATCAAGTTTTAGTAGAACTGGTGTAATTCTTACTATAGAGCTGAAGTCTCCGAAAATACTTTCGATTTAAATTTGTTTTCTGCTCTCTTTCACTAACAGTCACATTCATTTTTACGTGCGTTATTAAGCTTGTGTGGTATACACAAAAACTTTCGAAAGATATTTGCTTGGTGTTTTTTACTTAGTTGGGCCTCATCCGAATCCACCATTGTTGGCCATTTTCTTGGCTATTTTCTTCATATTTTGAGTGAAGCAACGGTTCTTAAAATCGGCTTCAGCGCTCTTTGTGATAAAGGTAATGCACTGAATGGTTCAGCTAGTGTCAATCATTGTGGTAATTCGAAAGTTACGGCTGAGATTTCAAAAATAATTCACGCAAAGAAGCACGGGAAGTCATTCTCTTTATTATATGATTCCTGTTCCATGAGCGTGCTTATCAAGTTGATCAAATATATTCTAAATTGCTCATCTCTTTTCATTTATTACACAGTAAATAAGCAAATTAAGGAGAATATTCTAATATTAAATAAGTTGATAAATTGTTTGGCTATAAACTACTCACGCATTATCTATAATACTGAAAGAACTGAAAACATGGTCCAAGAAACATAAAAGTTAATCTTCGAAAGTTGACCTTGAGAGGTGTGGCTCCCTGAATAAGCGTCTTTTAGTGTCACCATACCCAAACCGTTAGAAACGCTCAAAAGATTTTGGCATATAATTGAAGCCTAGAGGCAACTTAATCCAGAGGCGCATAAATCCGATAACTCGGTTGGTGTCTTCTGGTAGTGCTTCGATGGGAACATAAGTCGAATTTGTTGCATGTTGAACGAAATTTCTCCATCAAAACATAAACTGAGAGGCAAAAACCCGATCGTATCAAAGCAAGTCGATGGTTGTGTTTGATCGCACTAGAGAAGAGCTGCATAAAGCGAATCTGGAGGATAGTCCGGGATGATAAACCGTCTTCTCCTCCCGCCTTCATTTGGGAAATGATGGATCAATTTAAAATGCAGCTGAGGCCACGTGATATGAAGC